AGATCGGAGCAGGTCCCGGAGTGGAGCGGGTTCCGGAGCAAGTTCTGGAGCAAGTTGCGGAGCAGGTTCCGGAGCAAGTTTGGGAGGACGTTTTGAAGCAGGTTCCGGAGCAGGTTCCGGGTCAGTTTGCGGAGCGGGTTCTGGAGAAGGTCCTGGAGCTTTTGGGACAGGCTTTGGAGGAAGCTTTTGCAGGAGTGCTGATGTTGTCAGCGCATAATGCCGACGTGTCATCATGCTGGAATGTTGTCATGCTGACATGCTGTCAGCCTGTGATGCTTGCATTGTGTGCACCGTCACGTCGACATTCTGTCACTGTCACGCTCACTTGCAAGCGTGCTGTATGTTGGCATACTGTGTTTGCTGCCACGCCGACATGTTGTCAGGCTGACATGCTGAGATGTTGTCACGTATATAAATGTGCTGACACTGTGTCATGTTGACCAACCGCTCACATGTTGTCACGCTGGCATGTCATACTAACAGGCGAGCGCGTTGTCACGCTCAGATGGTGACGTTGAGCCACTTTGTCGTGCTGACATGTTGGCAAGCTCCAGTCCAGTGCAAGCTCCGAAGCAGGTTCCATTGTTATTGTTTGTTGCGGCGTTGTCAGGCTTGCATGTGTATAGGCCCATGTGCTACGTTGCAAGCGTGATGTCGTGCTGACGCGCGGTTTCTGCTCACGTGCTCACATGCTGAGGTGTTGTCAGCCCGCATGCTGACATGCTGTCGTGCGGACGTGTGGACATGTTATATAACATGTTGTCACGCTAAACAGATTGCATGGTGTCGTGCTGACATGTTACTGTTGTCAGGCTGTGATCCAGTGGGGTCATGTTGTCGTGCTCACATGCTGGTAGGCTCCAGAGCAAGCTCAGCTCCTGAGGAAGTGTTCTGGTTCTTGTTTATTGCGGCATGTGCTATGCCGACATATGTTTTGCGTGGCACGTTGAAGAGGTTCACATGATTCAAAGCAGCCTGGTCTGGCAATTGTTCAACACTGTGTTGGGGAAATTGCGATGTTGCCGTTGCCCAGTCGGCGGGTTCATGCCCAGCTGTCGTCGGGTGTTTTCTTTGCAGTTTGTTTTCCATATCGAACCACTTCACATCAAAAGATCGGCAACAGGAAAAGCCTGAACATTGGATTGGCTATGATGGTGATGCTTCTAGTGCACCTCGAAGGCGCCTGGGAAAAACAGGTAAAGACAGTCCAAGAGGGGAAGACTATGCAAAAGTCAACCTGTGCTGTACCTGTTGCAATCTTAAATGTATTACTGTGTCCAGTTTTGTTCAGTCTATTCATTTTCGAGTGGAAGATGTGCAGCTAGCTGTACATGTTGTATACAGAGTTTTTCTAGTGATTCTAGTCAAGAACTAGAGCAGTTGAAACCACAATTTTAGCGCATTAACTTTGAGGCTTGCATTTTTAATTGAGCGTATCATATTCCATACTGTTTGAAAGACATGGAGGCAAGGCATTTTGGTTGACACACCAGGTGGCCGGAGGGCTACGATCAAGAAGTGGCAGACTGGTGAATTCACACAAGTCTCACTGTGTTGCTTTTGTGTGGCATGCCTGTCGCACTCCTGTCTCACATTCCATGTTTCACGCATTTCGCAACCAGCAGACGGAGGCATCACATGCGGTGCTAGGAGTGAAACTTGCACTCAGTCAGATTTGCAGTGATTGATTGTTGCCAACTGGTGCAGTTTTTGTGTCTAGACTCTAATTACTTTGGACAGGGCAAGTGCCAGCGCTGGTTGGAGCTCGAATGAAGAAAAGGAACCTGAAGTTGTTGACACATTTCCATGGTTGTGAAAATGTAGCGAGTCTTCACAGAATGTGGGTACAAAGTCGATGATCACGCCAGGGGCGAGTGGATGAGGGTGGATTGCTGGGTGTCCGACAGAAGCAAGAGAAAGGCTGGAAAGCAAGATTTCCTGAAGCCCCTAGTAGCGTCCTTGCTCCTAGTAGCGATGCCAGGAGCCCCTAGTAGCGTCCTTGCTCCTACCCCCTCTTGTTGGCCGGTCACTTGTTGGCCTCCAGGACTCCAGGCCCCAATGCCCTGAATAAATTCAGGGTTGCGGCTAACGGTGCCACCCTTCATTATTGCAGAATTTCGGCTCAGTGCAGGAGCTGCGCAAATTTCGTGCCTGCTTTGATTAGTTTGTAGCCCAAGCTGCGGCTTGATGGCAACGTGACAGCAGGGTGGATGATCCGCAAATGACAGGATCGCTACTTGCACTTGGAGTGCTCAATGTGTCCTCAACAGGCCGGTTTTATTCTTTTTTTTAAGGCGGGGGTAGGCCGAGAAGAGGAGGTAGCTAGGAGTAGCTAGGAAGCTAGTAGAAGCTATATAGGTAGCTAGTAGCTAACAAGTAGCTACAAGCATGGGCGCAGGATAGCTCACGCTTTTTCAAGGAAGCTCCCACCACCACCGCCCTAAAGGCGGCGGCGGGGGGAGCTTCCTTGAAGAAGCGCTCGCACTATTCATTTGGTTCCTAGTCTTTTAGGGAAAATTGAGTTTCAATAGTCCAATCCCTTTTTGTGACATTTGTGGCTTCAGGTTGTTGCTGCGGAGTCGGGAGACACAGCAGTTTTGAGACAGCATTTTGCAGATTTGTTGCAAGTAGATTTACAGTACAGCTTGCTCCTTCTCAGGTTTGGACTGAAAACTTTTGGTTCGACAAGAAGGAGAGAGAACTCTTTATTCGCGCAAGGTGCTCAGAGGCTTTACTAGGCTTTGCACATGTGGAAGAGCATCGCATAGAAACTTTCCCTAGGAACCAAATCATTAGTGCGAGCTTCCTTGAAGAAGCGTGAGCTATCCTGCGTCCTAGCCAGGAGCTTCCTATTGCTAGTACCTCCTTACTTGATTCAGTAGGCGCCTACTTAAGTGTCTTAATTACAGTAGGTACGGAAGCAGGGCCACGGTCAAAAAGAAAACTTTGGTCCTGAGGACTTACCCATTGACTTTGTCAATGGAAAGGCCGAGGGTCTAAGGACCGCAGACAAGCACCAAATCTGTGAGCCTGCAGGGTGAAGTGAGAGAGCTGGATGTCATTTCTTTTTTTGGCTTGGAGCACTTGATTCATGCAAAGTCTAATGTTGGAGCTGATTTTTATTCGGACTGTGATGACCATTTCTCATGCTCATTTTCTTGGGTATTGCCTAGCATTATTTGAAAGAGAGGATACATATATATATATATATATCGATGAAACTGCTTTTGACTTGCTAGGACTGATGCATTCCGAAGAAGGCCAGGCTAAGTTTGGGTTCTCAGTCCTTGTCTTGACGTGCCCGAATGCTGTGTGAGGCTCCAAAATGCGGAGTGTCCGTTCGGATTGGTGCTGTGCCCTGATTCAATGCTTTGCATTGGAAGTCCTTTGTGTCGTTTTCATATCCTTGTGGAGGCCAATGGATGTCACTTGGCCTCGTGTGCCAGAAGATGTTGCAATGCTAGTGGAACCACTGACGTTTCTGAAATTCTTGGCGGTGGCCTGGTCCTGAGATCCGCAGTGTGAAGCAGTTTCTCTGTGTACCTTTTGCATGTTTTTCATATCGTTTTTTAGAACCCGCCCCTACTTAATTAAGTAGGCTAAGTAGGCGTCTACTTAAGTAAGGAACAACTTGTTCGCTCCTAACTACTAAAGCTTCTAGTAACTGGATGCAAGATAGCTCACGCTTCCTTGAAGAAGCGCTTGCACTAATGATGTGGTTCGTAGGTTTCCCTAAACTCTCCACTATGGACCACTTTAGGCACACAGAGTGACAATCTGGAAGTGCCCTCTGGGTTCGGAGGATTTAGCTGGCTGAGCCGCTGAGGTCTACGGCTATTTGCCGCTTCTGCCTGTTCTGGGCTTTGATACATTTCTTTAATATACTGATTTTGTCATATTTTGTTTTGTATACAAATCGATTACAAATCTGATTCATTTGGCTTCTCCAGCTGGCTCCACCAGAGTTTCAAGACTTGCATGGGGGGTTGTTCGATGTCTACAGTAAAGTTTGGAGTCTTTGGTTCTATTTATATATAAATTATATATATATATAGATTTATGATTGATTTACTCCTGTAAACAAATAATTCATTAAATCAAATCGAATGGAACATTCTTTCCTGCCATGGAGACTGCCTTGGCCTTGGCGACGACAGCTCCCCAAGTCCATGCGCATGAAGTGGATTTCATTTTCACTATGGCTGTGTGCACTATGCTGCTGTAGCAGTTGGGGCATGTCGATGCCAATCCTTGGATCCCGAGTCATGCTGAATGCCAAAGGGTATCCTTGGCATTTCAAAAGAAGAGCTGTCGCAATTGTTTCACAATTTGAGATTGCTTGAATCTGTTCAGTTCTTGGTTGCTCTGATTCTCGATACCTTTCAAGCGCGCACCGTTGCAAGTTTGTCAGCTAGTTTCAAACTTCTGTTTTCGTTATTCTTTTTTCTTCAAGCTCTCTGCAAAAGAGCTGCTGAGCTCCTGTACACGTGGGTGGGCTCAGTTCTTGTCCAGACCTCATCTAGTGTGCTTCAATCAGATTGGCGTCGAGTGTCTTTTTGAAGTTATTGTTTGGCTGTGGGCCGGGGCTTTGGTGGGTTTCTTCTTTTGGATGTTGCTTGTTTGGGCGGATTAATTGGTGTAGTCATGTTGTGCTATATCTCCTAGCCCTATGTTAGATGGTGCTTTTGACACGTGCTTGTGCCAGCCTGGCTGCACCTAAAGACTTCTTCGATTGTTTGGCTTCGCTCTATGAAGGTTGTCAGCGTGCGCTGTTTTTGCAAATGTGTTGCTTGCCTTCAATGTTCCGAGGGCAACTTGCCAAGTTCAAAAGCAAGCGAATCCATCCAGTCGGTTCTCCCGCCGTTAGCAGTTGTGTTCTGTTTAATGAATAGACTTCGAATGTCCCAGTCTTCTTGCATCTCCAAAAAAATCATAGTTCTTCCTTTCGATATTCTTTTTGGAACGCACTCAGGTTTGGTGCTGCCAAAGAAAAAGCACCAATGATGTGCCCGTGCCTTTCGGGAAAGCTGTACAAACTATGCTGCCGTGGCTCTCACAAGGACGTGCACACAAGGGGGATGGATGCTTGAGTTTCAGCATTGGCATTCAGGATCCAAGTTCTGTGGCTTCTCCAGAGCAGCTGGCAAGAGCAAGATATTCGGCCCTTGCACTAAAGAAATATGATTTCCTCATAGTTTCTCAGATGCAAACAGTTGCGGCATGCTGACCACTATTGAATTGGAGAGTTTGCAGTTTGGCTGGCAAAGGACACTACACATCATTCGCATCCCGAGTACCAGGAGCAGTTTTGATAGTGTCGTGAGGTGGGCAACTGGTTTCCCTTCTGCAGGAGGATAGAGAGTCATGGAAGAAGACAATGGCCCGCAACAACCGTGGCGTCCGCTATGTTGGTTTGAATATCACTGGATCCGAGTCTCGCGCTGAGGCTTCGGCAATTAAGTGTTTCAAGTGCTGTCTCTAAAATATGCATGTGATGCATATAGTATAAAGTAGCACTCTTAGCATTTCTAGTCATAACAAACGAACCAATATTTGTGTACCGTAAATGTGCAAGCAAACCGTTTTTTACAATTCAATCTGGTGGCAGATCACTGACTTCTTGCAGCAGTGTGACACAGAAGAACGTCATCGTACACCCACATTGTTGTTGCTCCCAGCCAGTTCATGCAGTGACAATTTAGACCTCCTGTGTAGGCTCTACGTATTGCGTGCTGAATGGATCCTTTGATTCTTTTTTCTCACTCGATCTTCGTCAGACCTCATGAGTGGACTCTCCTACAGCAACCACCATACTTAGTTGAACGGTACTGTAAGAGCGGTGATGGATATTGTGCTGTCGCTTTGTGACAGAGAAACCTTGTGCCCACTTTGTCAGGGCACCCACGCTGTGACCATTGAAGCTGCGTCTGAACCAGAGAAGATGGATGATTTGCCAAAGGACAATTGTTTCGTTTTCTTTTGACAGCTGGTTGGCGTTTGCTTCGGAATCGATGCATTCCTTCTATTCATACCTGGATTTGTGAACTTGATCCATGAAACTCATCAGGTTCTGCTCGTTCGGGAATGTTCAATCTACCGGTACGAGGGTACCTGGCAGTATGCAAAGGCGGAGGAGTTGAAGCGCGAGGCCATTTGTGCATCTTTGACATTGGCAGGTTTTGTCAAAACGAATTGTGAGATGCGAGATGGCAAGCTTCCATGATGCATTAGATGCAATGAATGCGCAGGTTGTGCAGGGTGCTGGCTCAGCGCGGCAGCTTTCTGGTGCAAAAGTCGATGGACACTGAAAGGGCAATGATGTTGCAATGCCACTCAAGAATGCGCAGAGACCGCAGGTGGCGAAGTGTGAAGTGGTTTACACCGTCTAGCAGTGGGTCCCATTTGAATGGACACATGGAATTTAGTAACTTTAGTATCACAGTAGCGGCAACACAGCTTGGCACAGCAGACAACTGATTTGGGAAGAACAGCACGATTCAAAAAGTTGAAGTGTAACTTGCCTTTTTGGCCTGCTCTTGCTTGAATATATAAGTAGCTATGCCACTGATAGGCTTACTAGTTACTAGTAACTGGACGCAGGATAGCTCACTCTTCTTGAAGAAGCGCTCGCACTCTTCCTTTCGTTCCTAGATTTTTGGCTAAACTTAACATTTCACCTGAGGTAGCAGTTGTTCTTGTGGATTGTTTGATACATCGAGGATCCCGCCAGAGCCTGAAAGCCTGAGAATAGACAGTATAGGTCAAACGTTCATTTGGATGGGCTTGAAACAATTACTCACTCTTGCCTGAGCTCAGCAAGTTCTGTAAGGGCATTTGTGGATCTTGCTGTGGCTCGGCGTTCTTCTCAGTGTCAACGAGGCAGGGCATCCTCATGGAGCACGACTGAAGTTGACCTTCTTTGGTGTCTTTAGCAAACATAGGTCACCTGCGAGGGAACCACAGGTTTTGAAAGGTTGCTGAAGCTTTTTTGGGAGATTCCAGAAGGTTCCGTTCCGTTCGGTTAGATTGAAAGTGTGTCGAAGGTTCGTGGGTTTCCCATTTTGTCCGAAGGCTTCACAAGATTTTGTGAGGTGCCCAAGGGTTGGTTTCAATTTCATCAATTTTCCAAGCAGGTTCCGGTGCATTTTGGGGTCCTAGAGCAGGTTTCAGGTTTCAGGTTTCCGCTTCCAGTTGTTGAGTTCAACAGGCAGTTGTGAAGAAGATCGTAGCAGAGCCTAGACCTGGCAGTCAGGGCCTCGAGAAACCAACCAGGCGGAATTCGAAATGAATGAAAGACAGACACTCAACATGCCAGAAGCTACTACAAGCAAGGACGCTGCTAGGGGCTTCTGGCATCGCTACTAGGAACAAGAAGCTACTAGGGGCTCCTGGAATCGCTACTAGGAGCAAGATGTAAGAGTGCCAGGAGCCTGTATGGTCGATGATTGCTTGCTTTTTGAAGGTATGATGGAGCTCCGTGGGCAAAATGGACTGCTTGAAGGTTCCTGTGTGGAGACATGTGGCATGCCGTCGAGCCATTCTGCCCACTTCCTCAGAGTTAGCTTGATGCAGAACAAGCACGTAGAGCAACTGCCTAAATCCCGATCAGATCTAAAGAGAGTTATAGCTGGTCAAGTTATAGTTCAAATTGGATATGGAAAGATCAAAGTGCAAAAAGAGAGAGAAATAGAGAGAGAGAGAGAGAGAGTGCTTTTCGAGTCAGCAAAGAGTTGGAGCAAAGCTCTTCCATCACTCTCAGAACTTGCACCGCCACCCTCATTAATCTGGGTGCTTAGGCCATCTCAATGGGTTGGTTCCTTCTGCCCGATCCTTACAGTGAACTGGCACGAAAGCACAGGTTTGCGAAGAAGCTAGCGTATGTAGGAGTTTGGGAGCTTTTAAGTTGGAGGCCATCGCTATCAGGTTGGAGGCCATCGCTCTTAGGTTGGAGGCTATCGCTATTAGGTTGGAGGCCATCGCTCTTCGTTTGGAGGCCATTGCTATTAGGTTTGAAGCTCTTGAAGCTCAAATGGTTAAGATAAGGTCTGTTCTTGATGCCATGAGCCGGACGAACTTGAGCCCGTTGACTCAGCGGAAACCATAGACTCGCCCCAGACAAATGGCTTGCTGAATTCGCGCTCCGTGTGAGGAAGGGATCAGATTGATTTGCGGACATTTGGAGGCTCAAATTGATCATTGCTGCATTTCTTTGTTTGCCTTTGCGATGCCCGACTTTAGAGCACCCCTTGCAAACATTTTTTCTTCATTTGTATTCTGGTGCTCATGGCATCCTAGTACTCTAGGCATATTTGAAGCTTTGGTGCAGAGAGGTGACCCGCTGGTGGCAGAACAGCGCAAGTGGGGAGCCTTTATCAAGTGCCCAGGCAGCAGAGCAGCTGCAAAGCAGAGGCAGAGCAGAGCTGAAGAGCGGACGAGTTTTCGTATCACTTATTCTTTGAGCGAGCGGGCTTGCTTTCGGCCAAGGAATTTTTGTGCCTTGGAAAGCAAAAATTGCTCAGCGCTCCAAGCTGTCTTCTGGTCCTTGGCCCTTGTCATTCGTGGTTGCAGCCAGTACTTGCAGAATTGAGATACAGGTAAGGTCAGGTTGAATGGTTTGGTGCTGGCGAGAGCAATACCTGTACCTGAATTGGTGACCTCTGCCAGGCTCAACACCTTGGATTGAGAGGACAGACCTCAGTGCCAGGGAATGTATTTCAATTGTGTCTTGGACTTTGGAGTTTGATGGATGTTGCATTCTTTAAAGTTATCAGGCTATCGTATATGTATACATTAGAGACAGAGTGTTGAGTCTGGGGCAGGCTTGGGTTTACGTCTATCATCACAGCCTACATTTGTACATTTTGGCTCAAGAGCCAGAACGGACAGTGGAGTTTCTCCAGCAGCAGGTCTGATCACGTCCTGCATGACGAAGACCGACTTCGTGGAGGTCATGGAAATGATTCACTGCAGGAGGCCAGTTCGCCCGGGAATCGGAACGTCGGCTAACGGCGCGCGCGCGGGCACAGTGTGGCAAGATGCGCAAGGCTGGGGTACGTCCTGACACCCACTTCGCGTGTCCACATCGGGATGGGCCGCAGCTATCTCACATGAAGGCCAGTGCCAGATTGACCTACATGAAGACTTGATGGTCGGCCATGTAAGCGCAAGCGGTGGGAGATAAGAACACAGCCCTTCACAGTCACTCCAGAGTTGTCTCACATAGCAGCAGTGTCTTTGTTTGAGGCTCCACTAGCGCCAAAGAACGGGAAGGATGCTAGCGAGGCCTTCGCAAGGCAAAATTGCGGCACGGTGATCAAAGCTGAGCTGGAGAGCGTGGAGGCGTCTCGAAGAAGAGAAGGTCCAGACCTGGCACACTCAACTCGGCTTAGGTGAGGACGCCATGCTCCTGGCCTCTAAGTTAAGGTGGGCGTGGGCTGCAGTAGCCTTGTGGCTCAAACAGAGCAAGATCGGGCTCGCTTCATACAAGAACCGAGTCGACTCACTCTACTTGGGCGACGCTGAGGATGACGAGCCTGCCAGGAAGGATGTTGCCTCCTACTTGGACCACTGTGGACCCCAGAGACTGGCAAACAATATCACTAGATTGGGCCTTGCATCCTGCGCAGGGACTCGATGACCCGGCTTTGCAGATGAACCTTGAGCCGGCGCAAAGCACCTCCGCCCCTGCGCTCTGAGACGTTCCCGGAGGGGCTACCCAAGCAAAGGATGTGCCAAGGGTAGAGTCGTGACTGTCTCATCTGCGATGGTCGCATCCTCCGTGCGATTGAGCGAGCCCCGTTCAAGGAAGCGCGGGTGTCCAGTGAGAACCCACTTCAAAGGAGGCTTGCCAACGCCTAATCGCTGGGAACAGCGTTGAGACCACAGGGATTGGAAAGGGAAAGAAAAAGAACCGCGCTGCGGGATACCGAGTAGTGGATGCATGTAGCTAACGATGCAACTAAAAGCATTTGCAAGAACGAAAGGGAGGGGGTAGCTTACTAGTGCGCAGTTGCAAACTTAAAGCAGTGACAAGGAAGATAGGCTTGGCGCGCAGAAACTCCGGTTCTTTACAAGGTCAAAAGGGCTAGTGGAATTGTTAGTAAGTTTGCGTTTTCATGTTTGTGGGCTTGTGACTTGGGCAATCATACTAGCTGACCCTTGGGTTGAGTCTGTGTCTGAGGTAGTCTATTGGTTCTTGATCATGGTGCCTGCTTGAGCTTCTTCAGCGTTTGGTCTAGAGAATCCATTTAGATTCGAGCAGCCGATCCAGGTGCCAGTGCCCTTCATGAGGGTAGTCTTGCGTGATCACACGGAGAGTCAGGCCCAGTTAACGAGAGAGCTTTGACACCGTTGCCCAGACAAGAGTTGGTGCCTGTGTCGGAGAGGTCGTTGCTGGCAGCTGTCTTGGCGTAGCGCTCGCCATGGTTTGGTGGCGAGGGTTGCGAGTGCTTGAAAGCAGGCGTGTTTTGAACCCAGGTTTTCTTCAAAAAGACATCAGATGAGCCTTGACTTGACGAAGCCAGCGGTAGGTATCACACATCATTCCGGGGGCATCAATCAGCCCGTTCGCAGCCACCCAGGCGGCCGATGCCTTTTGTTTGCGAGGTAGTATTTGGTCGTGGTTCCGTTTTTGCGCGCGCCTCTAATCAATGTAGTATTGGAATCAAAAATGCCTGGTTAACTATGCGGGGTTCTTTCATCTCAAACAAACCACTGGCAAAAGTATGTATGAAATGCCAACAACATAGGCTTAAGAAACGCAAATTGCTCGGCCGGTCCAAACAAACACATCAATCGAACTGAAGATGAACGATCCAACGTGCAAGTCTGCAGATCTGCAGTAAAGGATCATAAAGGTGCGCCCCTAACAGAGGTGGTCAAACGCCTTGCTTGGGGGCAGCCGCACCAAAACAAACAAGCCATGTGATTTCATGATAGATTTGGTTGAAATTGGGCATTTGTTGCAGCCGCGTTTAAACTGAGGCCCAGCTCTGAGGTGGAAATGGGTGTGCCCTGAGCGGAGGGCAAAGACGCGACGCCCATGCTTTCCAGAAAGATTCGTCTCAAAGTAGCCGCAGCTTTGCAGAAACGCCAAATCTGGTGAATGTCTCAAGTCCTGATTCAGTACATCTCGCACTTGTTGCGTTATTGCTCACACATTCTGAAGGCCAAAGTGCCTCTGTGGTAGATAGACACTTGACGTCAATTGGCCTTTCACCTATTTGTATAAAGTACGTTGATTATGCATTATTCTTGCGTTGAGCTACAACCAGTTGGTGACGCATGGCAAACATCCTTGTTGGTTCTGGGGATCGGACAAGATGTCTTGTTCAAACTAGTGATGGGCGCTTCTGCAAAAAACATGGCAGCCATAACTGATAAGACACAACCGGGCAGTCACTACTGTATATTGATTCCATTTCATGATATGCCAGCCCTGCCTACCGACGGACCCATTGTGGGGTATGAATCGCTATGAAGCACAAACACGTAGGAGAAGGTGGACCGCGTTTGAAGGATGCTTGACGCTCATGGCTCCTGGATAAAGCGGCTTCTCCTGAATGAGGGGAACCAGCCAGGCACGTTGTCCAAGCCAAGCCATGTCCTTTGGCCACCGTTGAAGACAGGTGCTTGTGGCGCTGGCACAGCGCAGGAGAGAGAGAGAGAGATAGAGATAGAGATAGAGATAGATAGAGATAAAGATAGAGATAGAGATAGAGCTGGAGATAGAGAGATAGAGAGATATATTATATTAGATTAGATCAGGTCAGATTAGGTTGGGTTAGATTAGGTCAGATTAGATAGATTGGATCTACCTATTACCTATCTATCTATCTATCTATCTAGCTAGCTAGCTAGCTATCTACGTATCTACCTGTCTGCCTATCGGCCTATCTACCTATCCACCTATCTATCCATCTATCTATCTATCCATCCATCCATCTATCTATCTAGCCTTTGGGATCGAACCGGCTGTCATGAACAGCTGTGGTCACGGTCGGTGGCATGGCGGCTGATGTCGTTTGGTGCAACCTTCACTGGCCCTTACGTTTGCTGGTTTTGCTGACGCTTGCTGCCTTTGGGTGGCTACCTTGTGACCTTCCTCGACTTGCGCACTCAGCTATTTTCGATCTTCCCGGTCCCAATTCCGGGTCTGTCATGCGCCTCGACTTTCATAGAAGTTTTGATGATGACAGAAAAGAGCAGGGTAGGATGAGTGCCGTGACTCATCCGGGAGGGGTTGGTACTCGACCTTCGCATATTTTTGCACCCCCCAAAGACCAGGGCTTACTGGATCCCTCGGGATCGATCGAATTTAAAAGAAGCTTCAAGAGAGCCCAACGACGATTGGCTCTGCATGGTTATCGAGAATCGGAATCGGAAGAGGATGAAGCTCTTCAGCTGGAATGCTCTGACCCTCACCTCAGAGGGTTTTGTGGAACTGCTGCAATGGGCCATGGTTCAGGACCTTGATGTTCTTTTTGTTCAGAGCACGCATTGGACTGTTTCAGAACCCTGGTCCTCCCATGGCTTCCACATAGTACCTTCACCAGAGCTTCATAAAGCTGGAGGTGGTCTGTTGACCATCATTCGTTCGACCTTCTGCTCCATGGACGGTATTAGTCTGCAGGACTGCATTCCAGGACGTCTCCTTCACGTTCGTTGTCACCTGAAGCACAATCACATTGATCTCCTCAACATTTATCAGGTGCCAGTGGGTGTCACGCTCACACGTTGGAACCCCATGAAGAGTAGACTGGAAATCTGGAACACTCTCCAACAACTTCTTCATCAGATTCCTGTTCGAAACACGCTGATCATAGGTGGGGACTTCAACACCTCCCTGGCTGGAGGTCCTAAGGCTACGCCCTCAGATGCTGACCTGCTCAGGAATCTGATCAAAGATTTTGCACTGGCTGATCTCAGGACGCGCAACAATGTGCCTACGTATGTGGGGCCCAGAGGATCCTCAACCATTGATTTCATCTTCATGAGAAAGGCCCAATGCGACAAGATTGCACGACAGGCTAACTGCCTCACCACGTTTCCTCTGTGTCAGGCCAGGGAGTATCCGGATCACAGACCACTTCTTTGCAGCGTGCCTGCTGATTGGAAGGTGTGGATCCACAATCAAACGATCTCCAATTGCAGCGCCTCCTTCAAACAGACTAAGGCCCTTGTTCAAGCTGCGCGAGACAACGCGCATGGTTGGCAGACCTTCATCCACAAGGCCTCCGAGTTGATTCCACGAATTCAACCTAGAGATCCCACAGATTTGACTCCCAAGATTCTCAACCTCAGTCGAACTGCAGTGCAACGAGTTGATCCTACCATGCCACTTTGGCTTCAGCCTGAGACACAATCCTTGGTTGCTAGGAAGTGGAGACATCTACACTGGGCCAAACAATGCTCTACTGGTCTGACAGGCCTCTTCAGACGGTGGATTCATTGGACCAAATTTTCCAAAGCACACAAACAACTCCAGCTTCTCGGTCGAAGCAAGAAGAGGGATAGAGTTCGTGCCATCACAGACACCGCGGCCAGGGCAGCAGAACGGCACGACTCCAGAACATTGTATGAGGCGGTGAGATCCTTAACACCAAAGCAGCTTCGTCGTTCAATTCGGTTCCGCAGTCAAGAAGGATATATTTTATCTCCTGATCAGGAACTGGGAATTCTTCAAGATCATTTTCAAGAAAATTTTGGTGCTGAAGATCAACACCCGCCCTCAACAGGTGTTCCTTGGAAACTCACTGCAGATGTCATTGAACAACAGCTTCGTTCAATCAGTGGCCAGAAAGCGGTTGCACCAGGTACACTGCCCAGCATTGTTCTGAAGACACTGGCACAACCGCTATCTCAGTGGCTGGAAGCCTATCTTTGGAGCAATTGGTCACAATGTCCTCTCATACCACAAAGTTGGAAAGATGCTCACCTTTCATTGTCATTGTTGGCAAAGAGGAAAGCTCAATCGCCGGCTGACCTGAGGCCAATTGCATTGACTTGTGGACTGGGGAAGGCTACCTTGGGTGCCTACATACAACAGGCGCGTGACTTCACGCTTCCTCACACCCTGCAGTATCCAGTTTTTGCATATGTTCCGGGTAGAGGAGTACAAGAGGCTCTGTTTCTGGCTCAATCAATTCTGTCATGAAGTACGTGAATTCTGTCAAGCTCTGAAACCTGGTCCTTGGAAAGTGGCTGGACAAGCTCATCAGTGCGGTGGAGGCCTCATCTTGTCCATGGACTTGAACAAGCCTATACGACAGAATGCCACGTCAATTGCTGGCTGACGGATTGGAGTTTTGTGGATGTCCATCCTCACTTCAAACGGTTCTTTTGCACTGGCTGTTTGAGGCTCGATACCACCTCCGGCATCGTGGCCTGACCTGTGCTTTGAGAACGCCCAGAGGTGTTAGACAGGGGTGCAAGGCATCCCCGCTTGAGTGGACAGCGTTCCTTGTACATGTATGCCATTTGATTGGCGTGCAAATCTGCTCCCACAGCTCTCAAAAGACGCTTTTGAGTGGGTATGTTCACACTTGATCACCTACGCGGATGACATACTGAGCAAATGGTGGATTTGCAATGAACAAGAGCTGAAACAAGCAATTGGTCAGATTGGTATTATTTTTGAAGAGCAAGCTGGGCTGGTGATTTCCTTTGACAAGACGGCAGTTTTGCTCCGGGTTGAAGGGAAGGGCATGAAAACTTGCATTAAACATCTCACCAAATGGCAAGACGGTCAACGTTGGCTTGTTGTTCCACGGTTGAAAGGACACACTTTGATCAAGCTCGTTTCGCGTCACACGTATTTAGGTGCCCAACTCTCCTTTACCCACTTTGAGCAGCTCACACTTAGACACAGGCTTCAAATAGGCAAGATCACACGCATGCGTATGAGACCTTGGTTCACTGGCAAGCATGTTCTGACTAGTTGTGATCGCGCTAAGCTGTGGGCAACCTGTGTCTTGTCCAGCTACGCGTGTGGCCATGGATGCAGTGGACTCCGCAAGGAGGGACTTCAACAGCTTTGCAAAACCGTATTCATTCTGACGTCGAGCGGGTTAAATATGTTACTCATGAGACCACTGGACACTTGCTCTCTCGCCTTCATCTCAAACCACCTCGAGCTTTTTTCAGGACAGATGGGAGCAAGCCTTCAACAAGTTCAGATCCACCTGCGGAGGCCTTCCAGACTGGGACTTCATGCACCGTATTCCCATTGACAGAATCGAACAGAGGGTAATGCAAGTCTTTCAGGATCCACCTCCTGCTGATGAACCTGACTGCTGATGAACCTGACGGTCCTACTTGTGTGCCCACCATTCATGGCTGTCCATATTGTGAACAGACCTTTGAGACCTTGGCTTTGTATCATCGACATCTTGCCAAACGTCATAAAGCACTACCGCTATTTCAACAATTTGTCAACTTGAGAGATGCCTACCTTGGCAAACCGCAATGTGCGCATTGTCTTGGTAAGTTTGCTCAATGGGTTGGACTTATACATCATATTGAATTTGACAGTTGTCCCAACTTCAATGTGCACCGAGCTCTCCAGGTACCCCCATGTGACAATGAGGACCTCCGGCACTATGTGCGAACTCAATCGTGGGATGCCTTGTTTGAGCGTCCTGACCTCATGAACTGGATCAGACAGCATTGTGTCATTTGTGCCAGAGCCTTCCAAACGGGGAAAGATGTCTTGCGGCACCTGGCCAGATGCCACTACTCTATGTGGGAAGAACCCATGACCAAGATGTCTGAAATTGTGATTCAGATCAACAACACCAAGGCCTGCTTGGCCTGCGGAATTGACAAGGCTGCATGGGTTGCAGTTGCCACGCCCTACGACAGATGGCAATAGTTCTCCTGATGTGTGAGCAGGACAAGTGGTCCAAGGACTTGCTTGACGAACAAGTCAAGTGTCTGGCACCACCCAAGCCAGATCCAGAACATCCACTGCCAGACTCCCTGAAGAGACGAAGGCTCAGTGGACCTGAATCTGGCTCA